CGTAGAGCAGGTAGGCCGCCGCCGGAAAGCGCTCGAGCGCTCGCGCCGCGAGGGACCCGTCGCCGCCGCAGAGCTCGCCGATCGTCGCCGGCGTCGGCAGGTCCTCGATCGCGTTCAAAATCAACGCGTCGATGTGGTCGCGGTAGACCTTGGCCGCGGCGCCGCCGCCGTAGGTCGACCAGTACGCGTCGTCTTCCGGCGCGTTCTCCGCGCCCGTGTCGAGCGCCGCGGGCGAAGCGTAGGCGTGCGCGTCCCGCGCGCCCGCCGCGGCCGCGACGAGCGCCTCCAGCGCGCGGCGGCTCTCGTAGCCCAAGGCCGGCACGACGGCGACGACGCCTTCGCCGTCGTCGAAGGCGACGGCGACGGCGGCCGCGCCGCGGAGCGACGGGCCGTCGCGGACGACGAGCTCCGTCGCGCGCCGCCGTCCCGCGAGCCCCGATACCGCCGGCAGCGCGTCGAGGTCGACGTGGACGGGCGGCTCGGCGAGGTCGACCCAGAGCGCCCGCTCGCCCTGCGGCGGCCGGGAGCCGAGGCCGAGCAGCGCGCCGAGCTCGTCGTCCGTCGCGCGTCGCAGCGGCGCGCACTGAGCCGCGGCGTAGACGAGCTTCGCGACGGCGCAGGTCGGCGGCAGTGTCGCCGGTGCTGGTTTCGGCGATTTCGCTGGTGCTGGCGGCGGCGTTGGCTTCGCCGGCGCTGGCGCCTTCGGCGGTGCCGGCGGCGCCGCTCTCAGTGCCGACGCTGCCAGCGGCGACGCCGCTCTCCGCTCCGGCGCCGGCGGCGACGATGACGGTCGCGGCTCGGGCGGCGCGGGCAGCTCGATCAGCAGCGCATCGAAGCGCGCCTTCAGTCCGCGCACTTTCGCAATCATGCTTTCGCCGTAGACGGCCGCATCGCCGCGCCGCGCCGCGCGCTCGACGAAGGTGCCGACGCGCGCCTCGAGCCGGCGCACCTGCGACGCGTCGCTGCAGGCGGCGAGCTCGGCCTCGAGCGTGGAGAACTGGGTCATCTGCTTGCGCTATCTCTCGAAGCAAGAGCTCTCCATGCTTGCGCATGCAGCAATTCTTCAAGTATGAATTCATAAACCTCAACTCTCGGATACCCCATATTCGACTACGACGATGGCCCGGACGATGGCGCCGTCGGCGCTGCCCAAGGCGGTCCTCGCGGTCCTCGCGACGGTCGGCGCCCTGCTCGTGGGCGCGCGCCTCGCGCACCCGGCGGCCACGCTGCCCGACGCGCTGCTCGCCGCCGTCCAGCGGCTCAACGACCACGACATGTCGCCGTCGAGCGTCGACGCCGAGGCCGGCGGCAACGGCACGGTGACCTACGACGACTTCCTCGCCATCGAGGACGTGCGCGCCTTCCTGAAGATGAAGGGCCTGTCGACGAAGGACTACGGCGACCACCCGACGCTCTTCAAGTACGTCCCGCGGGAGGTGACCATGTCCAAGACGGAGAAGCTGATGCGCGGCGAGCTCGGCGAGGCGGCGAGCGCCGGCTACGTCGCCTACGCCGTGGCCTACTACGACGGCTCCGAGAACACGGCCTCCTACCTCATCGTCCAGGACATGGAGGGCAGCCTGCTCCAGGTCGCGCCCTTGTACGGCGAGGTGTTGAGGAACAAGGGCCTCTCCCACGCCAACGAGGGGGAGATCTACAAGGGCATCGGCCTGAAGAACTACAACTCGACGCATCTGCTCGTGGCCTTCGGCAAGGAGAGCGCCCTCACGGGGCCGCGCGCGCTCTTCGACGTCGACAGCGGCGCCTGGATCGAGCTCTGCGACGGCGAGTCCAACGACTCCCACGACATCCAGATGGCCTACAAGGGCGCGGCCCTCTGGCAGGCCGACGGCCGCACGGTCACGAAGAAATTCTCCGCGGCCGACGGCTCCGAGCTCGCCGAGTTCCAGATGACCGACATCGCGGACCCGAACCACGTCCAGCTCGTCGAGGAGGACAAGTACGCCTTCGTCTCGTCGCGCCAGACCGACGGCATCGTGCGCGTCCACGTCGCCACGGGCGACGTCGTCTACACCATCGGCGGCGAGTACGGCGACTTCGAGATCTTCGACGCCGCCGGCCGCAAGTGGAAGAAGGGCACGTCGCTCTGGGTCGGCCAGCACAACGCGGAGTACTTCGGCGACGACGAGTTCTGCCTCTTCGACAACCAGGAGGCGTCGGCGTCGTCGACGCTCAACGCGTCGCGCCTGCTCTGCCTCCGCCTCGACGAGGCCGCGGGCACC